AGCAAGGCTCAGCCAGGTCTCGAGCAACTGAGGACATGCTTTCACCACCTTTGGCAGCCTCGGCCATATCCGGGTGCAGTGGCTCCAGAAGGAAACAGATGAGGGTGGCGCTATAGACCGGTATCGCGTGGCTCGGCCAAGAGCTTGTCTTCCACTGGCTGGAGTTCGTCGCACATGAGTGTGCATTAAGTGCTGACCTTGTAGCAAGCTTGCTCAGGTCTTCCTGAATGGCACTCAGGCGCGTTCCCGCAAGTGACGTGCAGGCATGAGGCACTCCAGATCTATGGCATCTCGCCAAGATTCCCGAAACGAATCATAAAGTGCACATGGCAAATCTGCCGTACGATTTGTACGCGATGTGCAGGTGTATGACGACTATGGTTATCGAAGCAGCCTGGAGCAAACCCGCGCAGGATCGCCACCTCGCTGGGCATCATGGCCGCACGAAATGGCTACTTGTAGGTTTTCCACATGCGGATGCATCTTATCCAACATGCTGCATCAGCTTGACATCATCGAGGTGCGCGTGGCAGACTTGGCATGTACACCAGGCTTCTGGACAGCCGGAGCTTGAAACACAGTTGCGGACAGGGTGTACGAGCTTCTTCGTGCTGTCTGAGCAAACTTCACAATCTGTTCGTGGTCTTCTGAGTTTACACTTCTGCTGTTTGCTGAGCAGAGAACCTTATGACATGTTGCAGGCTTGCACTTCACCCCGTTTCGTCTGTCAGGCTTGAGCTATGAGGTGACCTTGTCAGGGCGGAATTTGGGTGGCTGGCGGCTTGATGGCAGAGATGTGACCAAGAGAAATGAGTGGGAGTGACAAGAACAGCGCTTGCGATTGAAACAAAAGAACAATCAAAAAACGAATAAAATGAATGTGCATGGTTTGCTTATTATGTTTACGGCGCAGGTGAACGAACACTAGTACTTGATTCTTGGTTTTTGTCGGGTTATAGAATACACCTAAACTCGCATTAAAGCCTAAATACCCATCTTGCAATTCAACTCCTGGTGATGTGGATGTGTTTAACTTAAACCGTTTAAGTAATTGGGCACATGGCGGTAGGAAGGCGTTAGAGGCGCTTGAAGTCATTGACAAGAGCTGGAGGTCACCTTTGAGCGAGCCGCTGCAGACGGGCTGTTTCCTTCGTCCGGGTACCATCTCGGAGCTGCGCGAGGCGCTCCCCTTCTCGACATGTCATCTCGAATTGTCATAGACCCAAGGGATGAAACGGATCTGATCGGGCGCCTTGCCATACGTAGCTTTGTCAGTTCCAGCTATTGCACAAAGCACACTTGGACGAGGTCTCGTCTTCAGTGTCGGCGGACCGAGAGACTGCATCATTGAAGCTGTTGCGGCAAGTTCGCGCGTCAGATGCGTTCAGTTGCCATGTCAGGTGAGGAGGCGGTTTTGTAGCACGCGGTGTGGAAAAGAATCCGGAGTACAGATGGCCTGCCCGCCGCTTCCTTTGGAAATGCGGATTCTCATTCAGCCAAGGAGACTGGCATGGAATGCTCCACAAGATGCGGCTGGTGCTGAGACGGTGCGGTCTTGTTTTAATGGCAGTCAACAAGAAGTGCTCAGAGAAGCATGAGCAGTCCTGCTAGGCCTACTACAACGTCTACCGCGACCGTGGGTTGCGACAGGCTCCTTTCTGCATTTGCCTTTTCATGGTTAGGTTGGGTGCCGGGAAATGGTTGAAATTATGACTTCGTGACCCTAGCCAGTTGGCACGGTTGCTGCTTCGAGATTGCCGAAGTAGGCATGGCTGCAAGACAAGTCCAACAAGGGCTAGAGTGCTGAAGATGCATTGAAGACGCATCAGTCAATATCAACCACAAGGCCTTGTTCGAGCTGATCGGCAGCACAGCTGTCACGCACCTCGGCCTGGACAGCTGTGCCCCACTATTCGCAAAGGACAGCAATAGCCGAGGCAGTTCGATGATTCAGGCTTGGTGCCTGGTCGCGACTATGGTTACCAAGTGACTGCTGTGAATGCTTTCGGTGAAGGACTGCTGTTGTCACTGAATTGCTTCTGCTGCTCATCCTGGCGGTTGCAGTGGTGGGCATGCTGCAATCATCTGCAATCTGCCGCTGCCCGACTCCAGTTCTGTTGGTGCTTTTGGTTTACTGCTAATTCATGCTGGCTGCGCTCCTGCTGCCGCTGGCTTTGGCCGTGACTGGTGCAGCTTCAGCGCGACGAGTGCTAAATCCGATTGTCCCATAAGCAGTTGCATGGAGGACCTGTCAGTGACGTCTTGTTCCTCAAGGTTGCGGGCACGCCGGTCATAGAGACTCCCAAGGCCGCGGGTGAACAGAAGTTTTTCCAGTCGTTTAGCAGAGGTCGTTGTCCAGCCCAGGCAGCCTGATGCAGCCTGTGCGTTTTAGCCTCCTGTTCTGACGTGCTGAGAGAGCTTGTTACGGCTTGTTGCTTTGCGCACTGTCCCAGTCCTGGGCAGGTGGATCTTCTTGGTATACTGAACCAAGCAGGCCTCCAAATGACTCCAACCGCACAGACCGGGGAGTTAGACCAGGCGCGCAACAGCTAAACTGCAAGTGTCTTTTGTAGAGCTGCTAACAAGGCATGCAAAAGTCTTTGCAGCTTCGCATGTGGGCTGGGATGTGCAAGCTCGTAGTACTTGTAGGTAGAATGACTAGGTGACTAGGTTGCTGCTCCAGATATGTAAAAAAAGCTGAAATAGTGCTCTCTTACGATGTAGCAGTGATGTAGCTTTAGATTCAGCTGCAGGTGGACGGCATTCTTCAAGTCTATAGCAGCGACGCTTGGTCGAATCAGGAATCTGTAGGTTCAGTATGCAGTAGACGGTGCCACGTTCTGAATGCGGATCTACACATCCACCACGAGCCTCTTGGTCGATTGCCCAAAAGCAATGGTACTGGTAGCTTCTCGGGATTACCGCCGCTGCAGGTTACTGCTTCGCTGAATCCTTGCATCATGTATCAGCATGTTTCATTTCCCAGACTCGGTCCGTCCACCCTTGTATCCGCATGCACACAAGCCGTGGTCTGCCTGAGGATCGCCCTCGCACGCTCCAGGCTTCCTGGTCATGTAGCTCTGACTCGGGGCAGAGCAGTGTGGCATGGTGTGGCAAATGACAGTTTCCGTGCCTGGATCAAAGGCTTTGAACTACGCCAGTCATCGCGCGGCACACCTGGTGGTCTTTGGCCCTGTCGCTTTAACCGTCGAGGACTGTCACATCTGTCACCATGCTCTGAAACCCTTTTGGAGCAATCCCATGTGAGAGTCATGCTGAAGGCATTGCTGTCGTACTCAATGGGTGAGAGCTGTGCAGTGGAATCTCTTGTGAAGGAAGTTGACCTAGCTGGAACTACGGCAGAGGGTGACCCCTGCCTGGAGGTCTGCATCGCGCAACTGTCAGCAGCCACAGCTGCATGGGTAGTACGCACGACAAATTGCTGGTAGTCTCGCAAGTCCCACGTCCCTGCAGCAGGCCGAGCTAGAGATCGCTGCCCCTGCCACCTGGTTCTATGAGAGTTTGAAGTGGTCGGGGCTTCTTTTGCATTGCAGGCTGTGCATTCCTGCGAAGTACTGCAACCGGTTCGACGCACAAATAGGACCAGCGCTAGTCAACAACCCAGTGCCACTAAGGCCGAAGTCTGAAGTGCATGCAGAGGATTGCAGGGGAATGAACAGCAGTTTTGATGCGGGTCTCCCTCACCTAAGGCAAAATCCATGCAATTTTGTGCTGGAGATTTTGACTCGGCGCCCTCGATCTCACTGGCGTACCTCGTCAGGTAAGCAACACCAGTGCAACTGCTGCTGCTGCTGCTGCCTCTTCCGGTGCCGCCGGATTTGCCTGGCGTGTTGCACGATCGTGCTCGACTTGACATCAACAGTCGACCATAAAACGGAAATACGCTTGACCGGCACAGCCTTGTGGGCTGTCAGTCAATGCAGGCTGCCAAGCTGTTGCTCCAGCAGAATCTTCTTCTGTTTCAAGCCAGAAATCTAGCTTCGGGTATTCAGGCACGGTGAATTGGCCACAATATTCTGGCGGACAGGACAGTTGTCAAGTCCTCCAACCGAGACTCGGCGCAAGCGATGCCAGATTGTTTTGAGCGTGTGGGCATGCAGCATCATGCAGCTAGATGGCAACTGCCCCTTGGCCGTTGACTTCAGGAGACAGGTCGATGGCGAATCGGCTTGCATCCTGTGCCATGAGAGCAGGATCAAAGTAGGCAGCGTCGGTCGTAGCTGACTGGGAATACATACACGGTCTAGGCCAGCAGGCAAAAGCATGGAATTACGAATTCAAGAACCATATCTGTCATCCTCACTACGGTAGCAAGACAATTCTGTTTGGGCTGCGCATATCGCTAGCGTAGGCTACTCGTCGTCGTGTGCGCGTCTGCACAGCTTCCGTGGATGGGGAAGCCCAAGTAGTTGGCGATTAGAAGCAGACACTGAGCAATGCTGTGGGACAAGTCCACGGCTTCGCTCTAGTCCTGCTCTTCTCTACCATTTTGCATTAATGTCGTTTGCTCCTCAGCCAACTGGTGTTAAACTACTGATGAAAAAGAGCAGGCCTGGAAAGGCCCTTCCTGTAAGTGAACCGCCAGAAAGGGACAGAGCTTCAATCGACATAAATCCTGCCGTGCCCAGTCCACACCTGATCCTGCTCATGACAAGCTGTGTCTCCGATGGCATCTAGCAGTCCTCCGAATGGAGCCGCTTTGATAACGAAGACTCCGTGCGTGCGGGAAAACGGGATTGAACAAGTGCCGACCGAATTATGTTCAACTCCGACAAGCCGTTACTCTTCCCCTGGCTCTAGTCCATGCATCTTCAGGATTGAAATCTGTGCTGCAGCTGGGCTTTTGGATATCCTGTGCCTCCGTGCATTTCTTAAGAAATCCCACAGGCGCCAGCAATCCAATGGTTGAATGAGAGGTGTAGCAGATTTGCCCTGGGTGGCGCTGCTCCATTCTACATCGGCTGTGCAGGCGTGACAGCATGGCGCGCTTGCTGGTGCTGGCAATTGCGCAGCTTGTGGCAGCAATCTCAGCAAGAGTGGCCACGTTCGCTTCTTGCATGCTGTCGGAATAGTTGCACAGATTGCAGTCGCGAAGTCGCATCGATAGTCTGAACCCCGCTGACAATGGTTGTGCCGACTCTCTGAAGCGACAAGTTGTGGCCATGCATTAATGGCCAACAATCAGGTGGTGTGTGTGGCGGGATCCGGGCACTCGTGGGAGCCCGTTGATGAAGATGCGAGCATCTCAAAGCATCCTACTGCAGAGCGCGGGTAGTGGAACATTCCTCGGAGCCCACTTAGATTGACATCATGGCCCTGATCGATGACGAGCCCGAAGGAATTGCAATGATCCAGCGAGATGCGCGGCTGACAGGTGGGACGTCCAAAAAGCTGGCGACACTGTGTGCATGCAGGTGCTGGTACAGGGGTCGGGTTGCCCGCGTCGTCCGCACTAGCAACAGCAGCTGCGTAGATGGCCTTAAACACCCAACAGCATATTTGCAGTCTCCCCAGCCGCAAACCGTGCCCGAAACTTCCAGCTGCTGCGGCTGCGGGCTGCAGTGGTGACGACAACTGCCCCGAGGCAGGCATGCGAGATTCTGTGTAATCCCTGTGTCATCCAGCCACTGCACAGACAGCTTGATCCAGCCTTTGATTTCCCAAAGCCGTTGCTGTTTGGCTGGATGGCAGCGAATGCAACAAGCAGTGCAAGAGTATCGTACGACGTACGACTAGATTCGACTAGATGGAAGGCGGGGGATATCAGGATGGGTGCCGCCGCAGCCTCTCTCCAGCATAAAGTTCCTCGAAGCCTAGCAGTTTAGAATGCTCCTTTTTCCGTCTCATGCGGTGACCGGCTGTACTGGGCACGCAACACGCTGCCCGCCGCGCTGGGGAGCCGAGCCGCAAACAGCACTGTCTGGTTCCAGAGGCTGTGCACTTCCACTGCGAGCCTTGGCTCCACTTCGGGTTTAGGGTGTTTTAGCCGTTTAGCCATTGTTGAAGTCTTGTCTTGCAATCTCTCGTTGACAGCTGGGGTTCAAGGTCTGCTGTAACGTCAAGTTGCTGTTTGCCTCGCTTGTTCCTGGCTCGCCCTCGTCCGTTTCCTGGCATGGACACGCCGGATCCCGTTTCTTGCTGCGCTGACTTTCTGAATGTTATTTCTAACCAAACTGTCATCATGGCAGTCGTACTTGAGCGACCGTCCACGAAGACCCCTGACAACGTGGGTTTCATTCAAGAGTGTTTGTAGCAGTGGCTTAAACTTGGCGGCACCGTGCCACGGTTTAGTTCCGCAAGGAGCTTTGCCACGATTTCTCAGCATCGGCACAGCAGTGACTGTGGCAGCACGTTGCCGGTGGCGAAGGAGGCCACGGGCAGCCCAGTGGACGCTCGCAGCATCGTTTTTGCTCGCTGCTTCAGGCAGGTGCGGCAGGTGCCTACTCTCATGGCAGCCTCGAGCACGAGCGCAGCAGACACGGTCGCTGTCGCTCAGGCTGTGTGGGCTGATATCGGCTGCTTCTGGGGATCTACTTTGTCCGGTTGGCTTTGCAGGGCGACGCAACGGGGCTTCTGCTCATAGAGCACCTGAATTTGAACGTGCCGGGGCCCTCGAACTGCCCCTGGCAGTGGAATCCTTCTGCGGGATGTATGGTGTCGTTAGGCTGAGTACACAAGTCGCCCTGGACTTCTACGAGGCGCGTCTCATCCTTTTTTCCCACGGAACTGCAGATGTAATCACGGGGCTGCAAGATTTCCATGAAGGCATTGTTTGCACTGCAGGCACTTGGATGCTGCCGAGACGCGAGACGACCGATGAACAAGACTTTGCACAGCATTGTGGCCGAGATTTATGACTTGTACTCGTCGGGATTGTTATGGTCGTTGAGCAGCTCAATGCGTTGGCAAACGACGCACCTTCCCCTGCGTATTCATATTTGCATGTCTTCAGCGTGTTAGTCTCTCGTGTCGCAGAGTTCTGCTAAACAAGAAACCGAGATCTGGTTTGCCCCAGCATTCGAACACAATGCCACCATTGCAATATCCAGCACCCACTGGCACAGGATGTTGCTGGGTGGGATACTATTGTGATAGTCCTACAGCGAGAATCCGCGCCACGCTGTGCCCACAACAGGTAACTGTGGCTCTTTGACGCAATTTCACACACCGTCCCCGGAGAATGAAGCCTACATCGCAGGCCGCGAGGATCCAGCGCCCCATTGCTACATTACATGTCCGAACGGTAGGAAACTTTCTGCATTGCAGGCGATGGTGCTCAGACTTGGCGTGGTCATGTGGAGCAACTTGGCCAGACATTCCTAGCCTGTTCATGCCTGCTCTGGTTCATTGTCAACACAGGTTATTGTACAACAGCCTCGAGTCACTTCAAGCAGCGGCTACGCGCGTGGCACAATTGCGTGAAAAGGCACCATACTTGATTCTGCAGTTGTTGAAGCATGCACATCTGGAATTCCATCCAGGCCGAGTTTCAAGGAACGAGCTTGGCCGTTGGCGATTGGAATGACGAGCAACAGGAAAGCGTGGCTGTAGTGTAGCAAGACCAGCGCAGTGACTTGCAGTCATTCAGATTCATGTGAGCTGTCGCGAGTGCCACCGACATGTTACAGGAGCTGTGGGCAAGCGACGCATATGGCAACAAGTTTGCCCTGCGCGTGGCCTCGAATGGGGCGGCCGCAGCCATGCGTGTTGGGATCCGACCAGGCACAGAGGACTGCAAGGCACATGGGGGTGCCGAGAGAAGCTTGGCGGCTACGTCGTGCTCAGCCCTTTGCAGCCTTTGCATGGACAGGTCCTTGGCATCGGCTCCGTGACTTTGCAGGCCTGGACAGCTGGACCTGCGATTGCTGCTGTGTCCTGCGTTGAAGCAGGTACCCCCTGGCACAGCTGAACGTGGAGCCAAGTTTTATGCTGAGGTGGGTTGTCGTTTGTTGTCTTTCAGACTTGACATAGACATTGACCTGCTTGGCTTTTTGTTGGTCAGCTTCTGGGCTTCTCCATGACAAGAGAGCCCAGTGCTTGGGCCCTCTTGGGCGGCCCCCAGTCGGCTCAGCGCCTGCGCTTGGAGGCTTGGACTACCCGTCTCAACTGCAAAAAGCTTCGTGATGGCTTCCGGTCCAGGAACATGCCGGCTGCAGCGGACAAGAGCCACGCGGCAGCAATGAGGAGTTTCCGTTGTCGCTTTGCACTGGCTTTGCACCAAAAACCACGTCAGACGTTCAGGCCATGGCCTGCGAAATTGTGTGTTTGTGTGAACCTTCATGCCTCTGGCTCACATGCTGCATTGAAGTTCAGGCTGGGGGAGCACCTGGCCATCTACATACAAGATTTCGATGCGTGTTTCGAGCGCTTGCTCCAGCGAGGCCGTTGGAAAGAAATGTCTTGCCACGCCTTCCAGACTAGGAACGTGGGGGTTGAGCTGAACCGTCCCCTGAAGGTCTTATCTGGGTGAATCCTCGGTTTGTCCATCTCGACAAGTCCACGAACCTGGACGAGGTGCTCTGCTCAGCACCAGTGAGGCTCTTAGAGTCACTTTGGCTGTTCGAGGCACGGAAATACAACTGCTTCCGCTTTAAAGACATCCTGGCAGCTTGATTCAAATTACACAAAAAGGCGTCTCTTGTGGATGCGCTCGTTTGGGTTCGGCTGCGTCGAGCCGAACCTCACTGAGGATTTGGAAACTGGCGAGAAGCTCTTCGAGCTAGAGCACGAGGCTGTATTTTCGGGAATCGCAGTTGCTCTCACCCCTCCTCCCTCCCGCTCTCTGCCTCTCTCTCTCTCGCTCTCTCTGATTCGCTCTTGTGTCTCTTGCGGGCCAAGCCCCTCCAACAACAAGACCAACAGCAATAAGTACTACTACTCCACCACCACGACGACGACTACTGTTCCAACTCCTACTCCTGCCACTCGAACTGCCACTGCACCAGAACTGAACTACTACCACCACCTCTACATCGAATGCTACTGCAAGGGCGTATCCTCCCTTTGAGGTCGCAAGGTCCCTGCGGCTAAGTCTTACACAGCAGGCAAGAAATCTGTGCTTCACGGATCTTCACGGCTCTTTGTGTTTGCTCCCGAGCCACCGCGTGCGAAACCGCTAGGTCACCACCGGGACAGAGGGGGTGGTGTACAGAACACATCATAATTGGTCAGCAATAACTGTTTACATATGAGAAGATCAAGTCGCAAGCCCCCCATCCGTCCACTTCCCATTTCACACGCTTCCCAAAGGCAGCAGTTGCTTTGCCATCCACCTTTCCTTTGCTGTTCAACGAGTTGCTATGAGTTTTTTTACAAGGTGCGCTCCACGGGCCACAAGAGTTGTCCATTGAGAACCGCGAGCTAGCCTTGGCGCTTGACCTGAGCGGAAAAGTATGGAAAAGTCTCAAGCTGATTCAGTGTCGAAGGCTCGATGGTTCCATAGTGGGTTCCCTGGTTTCCTTGCTGTGGTGCTGAAGTGCTGTTGCGGAAATGTGCAGCTCTAACTTGCCGTTGCATATCTTGGCAAATCGGCCCAGCTTCGCACCGTGACTGCGAGGACTTTCGGTTGGTTCCACCTTCCGGCACTGGCAGCGCCGCTTGCCCATGCAAAAAGAAGCTGCAGTTTGTTCAAGTTCTTTGCATGCAAAGAACAATGGGACCTTCGCTTCGAGCCATCACCGGTATTTGTCGCTTCGACTCCGCTCGGCACAAGCTAATATCCTGGCTCATGCTCAGACTTGAATCGATCTGACATGCCATGATGCCATGCGTTTTCTGAGGCTTTCTCTTTCCGGCAGCTAGACACAAGGCTTGGAGTTTTTTGTGCTGCAGCAGGTTTAGACAAGTTCGACAAGCAGTCACCAGGTAATGTTGATGACAAGCCAACATCAACCACCTCAGTGGTATTGCACACTCCTCCCAAGTCAAGCTCGCGCTGTCTGCTCTGAATCTCTCATATGTCTCAGCTTTAGTTCAGTGCTCTAATGCACGCGGCCAAGGCAACACAAGCTTGACAAGTGACAGCACAGCAGGTAGCTATGTGCGATGCTGTGTATTTCGGAGCAAAGAATTGGAACTTCCGTATTAATAGCTACTTGTCTCTGTGGCCTGTGACCACACTTGTCCCCCCGGTTCGATGTGACGCCAGGCTCGCCACCGGACTGGAGTCCTGACCAGACAGCATGTCGCCTGGTAGGGCCACTTCCATTCCCGTAGAGTCATGTAGAGTCGAGGGTTTGCCGGTGCACATGCAAAGTTCGAACGGTTTCACTGCACGTGCAATATGGTTGAGCTGCGTCGGCAAGAAGTTTCTGGTTCTTGTGTCTGGAGCCTTAGAGGCAGATGTCTGGTTGCAGATGCCGCATGTGCCACGAATATATTGCTTCGCACGGATGTCGAGCCATGCCACACATTTTCAGAGTTGAGCAAGTTTTGGATCAAGCACGCTGTTGGGCAGAGAAGTAGCGTCGCCTCTGTAGTGTGATTGCCTGTGGACCCTACGGTCGGCATTCAGGCGCGCCAATGTGCATATGTTAAAGACTGCATGTCGATGCTGGAATTCACAAACATTGCTGCTGATTCGCTCGCACATGCGGGAGACAATGATCA